CTGGCTGTCTCCCTCAGCACTCAGTGAGTGAGCTTCAGCACTCAGTGAGTGTGCCTGGCTGTCCCCCCCTCAGCACTCAGTGAGTGAACCTCCACATCCCATGTTTCCTTTCAGATTCCTCACACTGAGTCCCATACTCCTCCACCCCCTCCCTGGTTCCTCCTTAGATCCTCTGTCCCATGCTCCCTCTCAGAGCTCCCCCTGCTGAACCCCATTGTTCTTCTGGCTGGACTGTCTTCTCCCAGCTTGGGCAAGTTCCTTGGATGTTACCTTCTCACAGGGGGCCCACAGCTCTCTGCCTATATCTGATTACAGCCGGATTGCAGGGCTGCTGCAGAACATCTTGGGACAAGCGCATTGCTGCAGAGGATTTTATCTGGATGTTTTGGGCATTGCTGCTGCTGCAGAACCTCTTGTTTGTGGATTGGTCCCTTGTAGCTGCTGCAAAAACCCTTTCTTGGATTCTAACTTTGCATTCTCAGCTGCTGCAGAACCTCTTTGGGAAAAGATCTTTTTGTAGTAACAGTCTGCAGACTGAGGATCCTCTACCTGGAAAGTGTGCTCTGCGCTGTACACACTGCAGGATCTGGTCCATGTACTCAGTGCTCAGCAAGCCCAGGTTCCCATGCAGCCTGCAAGGGTTAAATTAGTCCAGCACATCCACAATGCAAGCTGAAGGAAAGGGTTAATGTTATCTCTCTTCCTGAATGTAAGATTTTAGGCAGGGTGGTGGAAGACTGAAATATTGTCTTTTGTTTCTCTTAACAATCTGCAAAACTGAAGATTAGACTTGTTTGTTTTTTTCTGTAGGGAAGCCTACTGCTATATATGGTGTGCCTTGGCTTTTCTATCTCCTAATGATTGCTTGAAAGTAATAGAATGGACATGTTGAGGTGTGTGTGTGTATACTGTATATTGTAGGTATTTCTTGATTTGTACTGTTTGTCTGATATTCTGCATTGTATTGTAATTAAACGTCTAACATTCATTCCTAGTCTGTGAAATAATCTTAGATTGGGTGGAGGTGATGTTTAAATACTCTGTTCCCAACAAAGGTTCATAGTGTGTTTTTAGTAGACAAGTAATGGAGGTTAGAGTACTAAAACAATCTCTATAGGAACATCCCCCACTTGCTTTGTTACATAAGTGCTTTCAAAGCCATGTGCTATTGGAATCTCATGGCTTTACTGGCTCTTTGATCTAACTCTTCACACAATCTGATATAAACTAGTCCTGCTATCTGCATCTTATTGTTTGCAATGTTATCTTGTTAATGGGTGAGCTGGGATCTAACACTGGGGCATACATTGTCCAACAATACAAGGGGGTCAGGAACATTATACTAACTGTTAGTCTTAACTACTGCCTTTTTATTTTCTGTGCATGCAGTTTAACATATCAGGACCTAATCTCATTGCATAACACACTGCTTTGAGATCTATATTTAAACAAGAAAAACAAATTGCTTAGAAATAAGATTTGTCTGCTTCATTTATG